AGAGAGAGAGAGAGAGAGAGAGAGAGAGAGAGAGAGAGAGAGAGAGAGAGATCTACTTCTTTTAAACATCTAACGTGTAGTAATAGACTCGTATAACCTGAACGTGTTGATATTTAATTTGATCACTGCCTCTACCCTAATGTATGGTTATGCTGCACAATTGAAACCCATCACCTTGAGTGTTGTCAGCTCGTATTGGTACACTCTAAGGTATCGAATAAGCCCCCCCCCCGGCTTACTAATTTTCAGCTTTTTTTGGCAAATTACCCTAAGTATTAGTACCAGTACCGGGTTGGTTACCTCAATTTTCTGTGCATTTTTAATACTTTTGTACATTGGTTTATATTTTTTATGAAACCGGTTTGTTCCTAAAAAGTTGTCACAGTAACTTACTAAAATCACTAAAAGCTCATTATCTCTTATACTTTTATTCTCTGAAGGAGAAATAAAACAGATTTGTTCCTACTAGTACAGGGGTATGAGGTTGAATGTGCCCCCCCCCCCAAAAAAAAAATCTCGTTTATTAATTTTGGACCACTTGTCCACCCTCCCCCCTTTTATTCCTACCCCCACCCCCGCCTTTCCTTTTTATTCGATACCTTAGAGTATCCAGCTGGGTTACTGTTTGATGACCCATGTTTGCTCCATTGACAAAAACTCTTACATATCCGTTATTTTGTGGAGAATGTCGAGATTTTGAAAGCCGTAAGTTGAAGTATATTTATAACATAGTTATTAAGCTACGTATACACTATGGTTTCGATATATATCTGTCAAGACTACCACCAGATAGACAGTAATATGACAAGAGTACACAACCAAAGATCAGATGGAAACATTGTAGAGGCAGACCCACGGGGAAAATGGACTTCATTATAATTTTATTAATATTGCCATTGTTATGGAGTTTTATTTTTTGTTTCTTCCTTTGTTAGAGGCATTTCTGCCATCATTAGAATGTATTTTAGTAGAATCAATTTTATAGTTGGTATAAATAGTTATATTATTATTATTACTATTATTGTTATTA